TTACATAAAGACGACGCACCACTGTAAACCATAGACTGTATAAAAACATGGACGTAGTGTCCGTGACGTCAGTACGTTGCTGTCATGTTAGCTATTATCTTCGAAATGACTTGTGAACATAAAAAAAAAATAATAATAATTCTTCATAAACTTGAAACTCTTCCCTACACCAGATTCCCAGGTTCCAGGGTCTCGTCTGGCGCTGCGTCTCCAATAGAACATTTGCTCACAATTATCTGGTCTTTAATAATGTTAGCACAAAACCATGATTTATACACTGTTTATAGAAACTGAAGCAGTTTAGTTGGATATTTGTGTAGCGTTTTTAAATGTTCCTACTTATTATTAGTTTCATATGGTTCAGTGAACGTTCAAAAGTAACATTCCCAAAATGCTTGCAAACTTTTTTAAAAATAGAACATTCCCTTAATGTTGTATCTAAAGTTCACGTAACCAATATTATTTTTTTTACATTTAAAAAGCAAAGAACATTCAGAAACAACGATTTCATAACTTAACGGGAACGTTAGCAAACCATTTTTGTCAGCTGGGTAAACATTTGAACAGAACAACGAATGAATAATTGATTCATATATTATTAATTCACCGATTCATTCATTGAAATAAAAACATTTATTAGATGAATGTCCATAAACTTTTGGCCGTATAGTAGCTTTGGATCACACAATATACAGTATCTTCTTCTTCTTCTTCTTTAGTTTTTTGGCGCATAACAAACTAAATGTATAGCGCCACCTACAGTACGTTTATGTTATGCAGTCATGTTATCTACTATTATCGTCAAAATGACTTATGAACATAACAAAAAAAAGGGAGGGGGGATACAAAATAAATTATAATTCTCCATAAATTTGAAACTCTTCCCTTTACCAGATTCCCAGGTTCCAGGGACCCATCTGGCGCTGCGTCTCCAGCTCCTCCAGAACACTTCCCTGGTTCCCTAAAATCCAGATCAGGATACAGCATCCCTGTTTGATTTTAAATCCTCTTGCTCAACCCTGTACTATAAATATATTTTATTAGCTCTTCTTCTGTTTTATTGGCGGTTGGCATCCAACCATAAGGTGCATTACCGCCACCTACTATACTGGAGTGTGGGCCTGAGTCACCTCCCACAACTTAACCACTGATTTCTAGTCATGTCCTCTTTTGGAAGACCAAACAAAGTAGTTTCGCTTTCACAACGAAACACACAGCGACTCCACAACATGACGGCGGCAGCAACAATACTACAGCGAGAATAAAAGTTATGCTGCATCATATGACCCCTTTAATATTTCTCTTTCTGTGATATACTTTTGACAGTTATACAATAAATGCTCAACCGATTTCTCATCCTGACAATGATCACATATTTCCCTATTAGATGTTTTATGTAATCCTGTATGTCCCATTCTCAACCGTGTAATTATACCTTGTATTTTATTATTTCCTTTACATACCCTCCTACTCCCTAATTTCTCCTGGATTCTATCATAATGTCTGCCTGTTACTGCTATATCCCAGTTGTGTTGCCATTCCTTCATTATACTATTTTTAATTATTACTTTTGCTTACAAGATTTCCATAACATCATTATTTTGTATGCCTCCTTAGCTAGAGTATCTGCAGCTTCTCTAGCTGATGAAGTATTCTAATTTGTTGAGATAGTGAATTGGTGGGTTTTTGTTAAATGTGAGCCAAAATCATCACAATTAAAAGAACCAAAGACTTAAACTACTTCAGTCTGTGTGCACTGAATTTATTTAATACACGAGTTTCACAATTTGAGTTGAATTACTGAAATAAATTATTTTGAAATAATTAACTTTTCCATGACATTCTAATTTATTGAGATGCACCTGCAAACAAAACGCTATTCTAACTAAATGCAAAAAAAAAAGAAAAAGTGAAAAAAGTGAAAATTGAATCTGACGTCCCCTCTAAAATGTAGTGAAAAAGTACAAGTAAAAGTCAACAATTTCATGTAAATTTTGTGTAAAACATTATTAAATGTCAAAACACCAAAGACTTTGTAAGGTCTCAGGTAATATTTTAAATGAAAACACTAAAACTGACAAGATTTTTCACCCAATTAATTTTACCCATGCAGTTACATGAGCAGATACTACATAATAACGATGATGATTAATCCATTGTAATAACACCTATCTTCATAACAGGTTTTAGTTTTATTCTTTTTTCTTTATTTTTTTACTTCACTAGTTCAGATTTCCATCATGTCAAATGAGCTTTTCAGTTGGTAAATGTCTTGCAGATACAGCAGCAATAGATTGTTTTGATTCAAAAATAATACGATCACAACTGAAAGCACACGTTTTCAGTCTATCACTTATAATTACCCATCAAATAGCTTTCCTTATTTCTGAAGCATCTTTCAGACAACATTAGCTTTTCATTTAGCAATTTTTTCCCCAAGAATCAACGAAACACAAGAATCAACGATTCATTCTTTCTAAATATTTTAAGTCATTTGACTCAAGAGGACGCTGTTGGTAAGTGTTCCCTTTTGAAGGGTTTGTTGCTGTCATCAAAATAACATTTGTGCTTTTATGATCTCTCGCTAGATTTGGATTTAACTAGAGTTAATCTTCAAGACAAACTACAAGTAAATGTAGTTTCTCGCACGTTACACTGAAGTGTTTAATATCTTGAATCCAACTGATGTGCTCTTGCAGAACTATTCACAATGACTGATCATCTGTCCATCACAGATCAGATCCTCCTTCTCTACGTTTATGACCTACATCTGAAAATCATTGAACAGGTTAAACATTCACATCATATTAATCAATAAAAACTACAAACAAACACTTCCTGGACCCAGTGTTTTCCCTAACACTATTGTACCTAATCCTACATTTAAAAGTAGGCTTATATGGCTTCATTTTAAAAACTTTTAATCAAGCACTATGTCAACAAATTAGTCACACTTTACAGTCATAATTCACACAAAATTGTAAATTCTGTCATCATTCACTCAGCCTGAGGTCATTCTAAACCTGTATGGCTTTCTTTCTTCTGTTGAAGACAAATGAAGATATTTTAAAGAATGTTTTTGACCATTCAATAAAAGTCAACGAGTCCCAATGACGTTCATTGTAAAGACAAGAGGGACATTCTTCAAAATCGTATTTTGTGTACGACAGATGAAAGAAAGTCATACAGGTTTGAAATGACTGCTACTGAACTACCTATTGGTTAAACGTTTCACGACATGCTGTTTTAAATGATTCATTGCATCTGTTTCAAATGGAGTGAGACCTTTTCTTTGCTTTCGGTAGCATTTGCTGGCTGCTCAGGAAGTATGTCACTGGAAGTTTTCGCCTCAGGACGATGTGAAAAACCAAAGGACTGTTCCAGCCCTGCAAAAGGAGAACTGCAGCCTAAATCCAGAGGAGGCCCTCCAGAAAGAGCCTGTCGAAGAAGAAGCACGGAAGATCTCAGTGGAAGAAGCAGCTGCATCAGTGAAGGGGACTGTGCGAGGTTTACTCTTTACATTTCTCTGACAGTCAAAGCAAAAGCGCACAAACCACCAGAAGCTGATCAAATGAAATATGCCTGTTGTTTCCGACACCCCTCTAGTCTCACATCCAGAACACTCCTCTGTGGGAGCTGCCGACACCAGTGCGATGGAAAGAAAGTATGCACTATTGTGGATGTTTTCAATTGTCAGCTGCTTACTTGATGTATTTTTAACGAATTGTTCCATTCATTGTCTCCTTGAAGGACCTGCGGCTGTTTCTCATGGTTATGGAGCTGCAGACGTTAGTCGTGATGAAGTTACTGCCAAATTGATGCCTCTCTTTTGTACCTGTTTTTTCTGTTATTAGACATTAAAAAATGATAATGCTATATTATATATAATGTCTGGAAGAATCTGTTCAGAGATAGATAGATAGATAGATAGATAGATAGATAGATAGATAGATAGATAGATAGATAGATAGAAAGGTAATTTATTTAGAGATGAACATTGTTTTGATGCCTCTCTTTTGTACCTGTTTTTTCTGTTATTAGACATTAAAAAATGATAATGCTATATTATATATAATGTCTGGAAGAATCTGTTCAGAGATAGATAGATAGATAGATAGATAGATAGATAGATAGATAGATAGATAGATAGATAGATAGACAGGCATGATCTCTAGACATGAACAGTGTCATTTATTTAGAGATGTACAAGTTATTTTTATTTCAAAGATGAAAACAATCAAAATATTCTTGGCAAAAAATGGTTGATTCTCAAACAACAGCTGAAGTCAAATGTTTGTTTTGGAGATTAAGCTTATTTTACTACAATAAGGACATTTTTAACTGCTTTATTACTTCATTCAACCATTTAAATTACAGAAAGTGAGCTATGAAACAACAACTACATGATGGCAAAGGAGTGTCAGCCGAGAGAAACTGTAAATGTTTGTGTATAGCAGGATTGAGTGGTGCACGTTATTAAAGGGGTGCTATTATGCTTTTTCACTTTTTCAACTTTAGTTAGTCTGTAATGTTGCTGTTTGAGTATAAAAAAAGATCTGCAAAGTTACAAAGCTCAAAGTCCAATTCAAAAGGAGATATTTTATTTAACAGAAATCCCTTTTCAAAAACTACAACGAACGACTCGTTTGGACTACAACCCATATTTTCCGGGATTTGTGATATCACAAATATCGATGAATGGGACGAGACCTGGTTGAGTTGCACTAGAGAAGGCAACAAGTGTTATTACTAAGTCAGAGACACGCTAGCTTTCCCAAGCCAGACGAACTTAGAGTGGTTACAATCATCCGGGTTTAAATCGCGCTCAAATTAATTGGATTTTTGATGCAATATTTTATTTTGTATTTCAGAAGGCGGGTGTTCATTTGATACAGGAACTATTCGAGCCGTTCATGCCAGACTGGGGAGAGAGGTGTTGTAATAATGTAAAATATGTTTCAAACAACCTAGTATGAGAGCCTGTTCTAGTACACCCCCAAAACAAAATCGAGACTTTGTAAAAGAGCATAATAGGACCCCTTTAAAGGAAGGTGTCTTTCATAACGCCAGGCTGCTCTAGCACAGTTTTCCTGTGAGCCGAAGCTTCCAGGATCTTCTTGCGTGGCCCCAGCTGGATGCGGATGCCTTTAAGATCATCATCTGAGCAGAGCATCAGGGCATCAAGATCCAAGTGTTCACGGCTGAACACAGGACCATAGTCCAACAGGCCGATCGACGCCAAGAAGGAATCCAAGTGAGAGGTCTCCTCGTCCTCATCCAGGCCGATCTCCTCTTCGTTCCAAGGAAGTTCTGAATCCTTGTCCAAACCCTCCAGACCTTCATCCACAGTTTCAAACAACTCTTGACGGATGAGGTACCCTAGGTCTTCTGTATTGCCGCTGGGGAGGTCATCAGGGTCCATGGCCATTTCCATGGAGAATTTCCTGCGGAACACCATTTTCCCGAGACCAGGCCTTTCGAAAATAGACTTGACCTGACTGGCTCCCTCATCATCCAAATCTCTCTCGACATCGTCATCATAATCCTGAATTTCATCCTGCTCACTGAAGACGTCAGCAAAACCAGGTTTCTCTTGTGAGCCGCTTTCTTGTCTGACAAAAATGACATTGCTATCCCCTTGTCTACTCACTGTCCCTTTGTCTTTCTTCCCAAATTTGTGCTGGGGAGTTCCCTTGATTGTCGACGAGTTCGATCCGTTGGTGTCTGCGGCATTGAGTTTGGAGAACTGTTCTCCGTTCACGCTGCTCAAGGTACCCGAGCCAGAAAGTGAACTTCCTTCTGAGACAGAGCCGCCACGGTACATCTTGTCCATCTTACTCTGATGTCTCTTCTTGACGCGTTCGCACAGCTTCACTCTACGCTCGGCATCTTTGGTGGCCTGTTCTTTCAGACGCGCCACCCTTTTGGCATTCTGGCCTGTCTGTTGGGCGGCAGCGGTGTCTAGGAAGCGGACGCAGTCCATGTGGTCTCGAGAGGCGGCCACGTCCATGGGAGTGTGGAAATCATTGTCCAGAGCGAAGAGGTTGGCTCCAAAGTTCACCAAGAAGCTGACGATCTGCATGTGACTGTTTGCAGAGGCGTGATGCAAAGGCGTGTTCCCCCAGATGTCACTTTTGTCCGAATCCCCCCTGTAAGACATAAATAATAATGAACAAGCATTTTAGTAAATAAAAAATTAACTTAAATGATTTTAGCAAATGGCTGCAATTTAACAAAGAGTGAAAAATGTAAGGGGGTCTGAATACTTTCCGTACCCACTGTATATATATATATATTTTTTTTTTTTTACTTTAAATCATGTAAATAAGCCCAAAAGTAAAATGATGTGTAAATGAACATAATACAGGCACTTTACAAACTACCATTTAAAAATAACTACAATCTTTGGCGCTTCTCAGACACCTCATTTGTCCTCAGCAGCAATTAAAATTCCACCCTCACATAATTTCCCGTGATGAATATGATGCTATAACCATGCAAACAGTTAATATGTAACCTGCTGTAAAATAAAAGTCCACAGGGACACCCATAAAATATCTGATTACAATATCTACAAGAGCTTATCTCTCTAAACACCATCTGTTCATAGGTGGACGGGACACACAAGGTGCAAATGGACACAGGTTTTTTTTTCATGACAAGAAACACCCCTGTCTGGGTTAGAAAGGTGCGCTGTACTGTTTGAGAGCCAGTCATGGCATTCTATATACTCTATATCATGAGTGAGATCAGCCCCAATTCTGCACAGAATAAGTAAACTCTACGCTGGACAAACTGTGGAAGGATGAAGAGGCCTATTGTTCCAGATTTGCATAACTAATTTGGCTGATTAAACTCTTGGCGTCAGCACTGGGAATTTTACAAATGATGTACACAGCAAATCATGCGAGAAAGAAAGTCAGAGGAGGACACAGAGCTACCCCGAGAGAAACTCTGAGTGTGGACTCAGTAGAGTCATTCTAATATGCTGAATATTTCAGTGCTGTTTTAATGATGACATCCATTTTAAATCGTAGTATAAGACCTTTATGTGATTTGCTGTAGACAAGAGTGATTATTGACTCATAAAGCACACAAGTAAAAAAGGGAATCGCCCAAAGGTCATAAAACTGTAATACATTATAAAAGAAGTACACTTCAGCATACTTTCGAAATAAGTACTTATCACTGAAATAATATACTTTAGAATATAATTATGTGTGAACTTAAGTGTGTTGAGAAACTCTCTTCAAGTGGCATTTTATTTCATTAATATTATCTGGAAGTACAGTTTTTTTACGATATACTTTTACGATCTGAAGGACAATACAAACGCACATGATCCAAATAATGTAAAATCCTAGATTATGCAGCTTGCGTATAGTAAAGGACTGTTTGATATGTAACACAGATATCTATAGTCGTCAATGCTTAAAAAACTAAATACAAGCAAGGTAACAACCATTGCAAAACTTTAGCATTAACTAATTTGAATATTATTCTGGTTGAAAACTAAATGTATAGATTTCAATTGTTAAACCTATAGCCATCGATACAATGAAGAGGATCAGTACAGAAAGTTTTGTACAGAGCAGACAGGTTTTCTGAGCTCACCCTCTACTGCATATGAGCTGCAGAGCTTCAATGTGTCCGTGGTAAGCTGCCCATAGAGTGGGTGTCATGCCATCCTCATCCGGGGTGTTCAGATCTTTCCTGGTGGCTTCTTTCAAAAGATCCAAATAGCCATCGATGGCTGCTTTGTGATATCGTGACATGATTGTAATAACGATCTCTCTTCTTCAGCAAGTACATATATTTCGTGAAGTATTACAGGACCATCTTTGCAGACATCTCGCGTGCTCTGTCTCTGCGTCTGAGGGAGGAGAAACTTTAATCACACTGCCTGGACACGACACCATTATCACTGTCATAAACTAAAGTCCAGAGTGAGCTCAGCTGTTATCGCTTAACATCAGTGTTAGTTTGTAGAGATATAAACAGGGACAGCTATTTGCTCTTAGATCTTAGCTATTAGCTATTTGATAATTTCAGATCTTGAAAAGGTGTTTCATTACATGGTTTTGGTAGAAATGTAAGTTATTTTCCATCATAGTTTGAGCACATATTATTGTCTTTGTTGTGTTATTGTACCGATATGCCACTTCTCCTCTAAAAAACACAGTATGTTTATGTGTTGGTTAAAGGGATAGTTCACTCAAAAATGAAAATTAGCCTATGAATTACTCACCCTCAAGGCATCCTAGGTGTATATGACTTTCTTCTTTCAGACGAATCCAGTCGGAGTTATATAAAAAATTGTCTTTGATCTTCCAAGCGGTTTAATGGCAGTCAGCGGGTGTTGCAGTGCATCAGTCCAAAAGAAGTGAAATAAAGCGCATTCATCCATAATAAAAAATACCTCACACGGCTAAACCTAACTAAGGTTTTTAGTCTAAGGCGAGAGAGAGAGTGCAGGAGAGATGTCAGACAGCAGCAGTGCAGTTCTGCTGTCATATGAAACACTGGTGCATGCTGTGGCAGGTTGTTTTTCCCTCTGGACACAGCCAGGATCAGACTGCAGGTCTGCAGGAGTTATTATGGAGTGCTTTTGTATTGTACTGGAAAATTTATATTTGATTTTTTTTTAAAAAGCTTCAAATTGTGTATACGAGCTCTATAAATTGATCTTCAGACATTTTGATCAGTATCACAAAAACTGAACAAGTATTCCACAAAATGCATTGGTGAATGAGACTTTGTACTTGTGTTTCTTTATTTCGCAATTTATGGCACATATTTTGTACTTTCATTTGTATAAAATCTGTTATTTAACTGTACTTATACTCCCTGTTGAAAAAAACAGCATATGCTGGTCCTTTGCTGGTTTATGCTGGTCATGTGCTGGCAAAGGACCAGCATAAACCAGCAAAGGACCAGTTTAAACCAGCAAAGGACCAGCATAAACCAGCAAAGGACCAGCTTAAACCAGCAAAGGACAAGTTTAAACCAGCAAAGGACCTGCATAAACCAGAAAAGGAGTCCTGCACATTATTTGAGAAAAAGAATTTCCTTGTTTTAGTGAAATCTTCACCATGTACTAATTTGTTCCCTTGTTGTGGCAATGATTTAAATAAAAATGAGGGTACGAGTATACAATTTAATTAAAACGAGGGAACAAATTAATGAACCACAGCAACAAACTTGAGAACGATTTCTATTATTCTTCCACGTCATAATAGACTAGTGAAACTAGTGTGCAAAATCATTGTTCAGTTCTCACTTTTAATTAAATGTTAAGAATTTACACAAGAAACGTACAGATTCTTTCTGCATGTGTTTCAGGAATTAGGACCAATGTGATGTAAACTTTATAGAACGGTTTAAAAAGTCTGTGACTTTAAATATCTACGTTTTCTTTTTGTCAGTCGTTTCAAGAACAATTGAGGTCAACATCATTACAACAAAGGATAAAATCCCAGTATATTTATATAAAAAAATTCAAAGTGCACATGGACATCAAGACAATATGTTTGGTGAAAGCCTTCTTTCCAAGGCCACAAACTGAATCCAGAGCATCCAGAGCAAACACAAGCAATGGCAAGTCATGCACAGCACATATATAGTATGTACATGAATCATAAACATGACAAAGATGTCCTGATGTACTGAGGCTGTGAGCTCAGTATGTCAGTGGTGAGATGAAGGATGGCTCCTCATGTCCTTTATGTACCACTCTGGTAAGAAGGTATACTGAGAGTCTCTGTGGACGGTGAAGGTCACGTCTCTGTGTGGATCCCATTTGAACAGGTACACCAGTCTGAAAAACAAAACAAGTATGTGTTAAATGGCAAACAACAAATGTTCTTATTTCACAACATGCACTGATGAAATGTTCAAAACTAGACCTTGAAAATGTACGTGAACAGGGACTATTGATGCAACCGTCTTACCTAGGGCCGTCCTCTTTGACGACTGATTTGACGAAGGACAAGAAATCGTTGCAGAAATTCATACAGACTGTTGGCTTCCAGCAGTTATACTCATTCTACAGAATTAAGAGACATTAAACTTTAATCTCACTTCATCATTCCACAGTCTCTCTATAATGACATCCAACATAGACGCTAGTGAATAAAGCAATCCCAGAATGCACTGATTACAAGATTTCAATTCCATTCACCATCATTGAACTATTTCTATCAACCTAATTACAAACTGACTACTTTATGCAATCACTCTATGTGCAATGTATTTTTATAAACTACTTTATTTTTAAGAAATGTCATTGCTTTCATTCAGCAATGACACATTAAACTGATCAAACGTGACAGAAATGATATTTATAATGCTACGAAATATTTCCATTTCGATCAAAACTATATCAGTTTACACACACTATAAAGCAGCACAGCTCTTTTCGACACAGATAATTAAGAAATGTTTCGGCATATTAGAATGATTTCTGAAGATCATGTGACACTGAAGACTGGAGTAAAGATGCTGGAAATTCAGATTTGCCATCACAGGAATACATTACAATTAAAATATATTACAATGGAAAACGGCTATTTTTAATTATAATAATATTTCACAATATTACTGTATTTCTGATCAAATATGCAGTTTTAGTGAGCATTAGAGACTTGATTAATACTCCAACTCTTACATTTCCATTTAAAATGAATGGCTTTCGATCACTTTCAGTGTAAACACCAGCTCTGCAGGGTTTGAAACAGAGCTCTTATTTCAGATTTAACCAACCGGCACTGAAGCTTTAATGTGTGGTTATTAAAAACAAACCTTGATGAGTTGTGAAATTTTCGAGGTTTGGAAGGTCTCAACAGACACCACTATCCCATCATGGTCTCGAAACCCAGCGACTATCTGTGGCACTCCAGGAAGAAACGACTGCGCCCACCATTTCAGCAGCTTGTTTTTAAGAGGCTTAAATAACGCCCCATAAATCGATTCAATGATTGAGGAAAAATAGTGCTTAATATTCTTTGACACATGATGGTTCATAAAAATTTTTATTAAATTAAAATCCGTCATCATTTACTCATCCTCAAGTTGTTCCAAACATGTTTCTTTCTTCTGCTGAGCACAAAAAAAGATATTTTGAAGAATGTTTGTAATCAAACAGTTGACGGCAGCCATTGACTTCCATAGTATGGAAACAAATACTATGGAAGTCAATGACTGCCGTCAGCTGTTGGTGGTAATACAGCATTATGTTGAGACCAACACAAACATTTGCATGGATTCAATGTAACAGATTTTTTGGGTGGAGAGGAAATTTGTGCTTTTGGTCACATGGCCAGAGCCTCGGCTGTCACTCACAAACAGACTAATTTGCTAAGTCACAGTGAACAGCGGAGGAAGAGTCTAGTTGTGCAATGCAGTGCTCTGTGTACCGCTGTATTTCTGCTATTTTAAGAGCACTGCATTTTCTTTCAACCAGTGTTTTCGTGAAAATCAGACCAACTTTTTGTGCCGAACATTCGTGTTGGTGTGAACAGGCCTTAAAGGGATAGTTCACCCAAAAATGAAAATTCTGTCATTAATTAGTAACCCTCATGTCAAACCCGTAAGACCTCTGCATAAACAGCAACACAACTGAAATGTTCCCAGGTCCAGAAACGTAGTAAGCACATCGGTAAAACAGTCCATGTGACATCAGTGGCTTAACTTCAATTCTGCGAAGCTACGAGAATACATTTTGAGTGCAAAGAAAACAAAAATAACAATTTACTTAACAATTCTTCTCTCCCGAGTTACGTCTTCCATCATTTTAGAGAGTATCACAACACATACGCATGTGAAACATCTCCATGTCACAAAGTCCACTCCTAGAGCGCTGCAAACACACTCAATAGCTCAACAGAAAACAAGAAACAACTGGCAGAAACGAGACATCTGTGCTGCAGTGCTAGTTTAGTTTTACATTCGTTTTATTTAATTTCCCCCAAATTTTTTGAGTACTTTTGTGCAATTTGTCATTTTTATTTCAGTTTTTGTTATTTTAGTGCATCAACTTAATGAAAACGAGAAATGTGGCGTTGACAACTAGCTGAAATAAATGCTTCTATATTTTATTTTACTTTATTTCAAGTCATTTTGATTTATAATTATTTTTTTTATGTTTTTTTTTTTATAAAAACCCAGCTGTGCAGTACATACAGTCTGGGTCAATTATGTGGCACTCATATATCCAAAAACACAAATGTAGATAAAAGGACATAAAATGACTTCGATATGCCTCTTCTATTACAAACCCGATTCCAAAAAAGTTGGGACACTGTACAAATTGTGAATAAAAACTGAATGCAATGTGGAAGTTTCAAATTTCAATATTTTATTCGGAATACAACATAGATGACATATCAAATGTTTAAACTGAGAAAATACATCATTTTAAGGGAAAAATGTTGCTCCACTATTTTTCGCCGCAGCATTGGGGGCATTGGTGATCCTCTGCCCATCTTGACTTCTGAGAGACACTGCCACTCTGAGAGGCTCTTTTTATACCCAATCATGTTGCCAATTGACCTAATAAGTTGCAAATTGGTCCTCCAGCTGTTCCTTATATGTACATTTAACTTTTCCGGCCTCTTATTGCTACCTGTCCCAACTTTTTTGGAATGTGTAACTCTCATGAAATCCAAAATGAGCCAATATTTGGCATGACATTTCAAAATGTCTCACTTTCAACATTTGATATGTTATCTATATTCTATTGTGAATAAAATATAAGTTTATGAGATTTGTAAATTATTCCATTCCTTTTTTACGATTTGTACATTGTCCCAACTTTTTTGGAATTGGGTTTGTATAACGAAGTTCTGAAAATTCAATTTGACTTTTTTCCCCTGTCCTGACACCGCAATGAAAAAAAATGAATTTAAGTAATTTGCTATAGTCTATTATTGCTATTTAAATTATTATTATTCATTTTCATTTCAGTTTTTTTAGTACATCAGGTTAAACTGAATGAAAATGAGAAAAGTTGCAGTGGCAACCAGCTAAGAAAAATATGTGTTATTTTATTTCAAGTAACGTGACATAACACGTAAGTTGTATTTATTAATATATTAAAAGAAAATACATTAAAATGTAATTTATACAAAAACGGAGTTTCACCAACTTCAGCATAAGCTTTTTTTTTAATGTTTATATTCTCTTCTACATGCTTTAAAAATAATTTTTTTTTTTAAATACTATGTTCATATTCTGTTCTTCATTCAATTAAATAGTAATCAAAAAGCACATCTAATTAACTGAAATAATAAAACTTATAAAATGTAACAACAATGTATTATTTATTTATTTGTACAATATAAGGCCCTAAGAAATGCTATCTATTTAATAACTATTAACCTATTGTAGGTCTGTCTTTAATTATACTTCACTGTAAAAATATATTTCCTCACAGAGAAGTATGTGTGCATCTCACCCGGATGAGGGGGTGTGGTCTCTGCTTTGAATCTAGTCTCTATTGGCCAGAATCCACTTCAGCACGTGATCAAGCTTCTCTTTCACGCAGTCATCTCTCTTTACGAAGCGGCTGGTGTAGCTGTCCCTTAAATTCAAATCTGGACTTTTCCGGGGCTGGACATAGTACCGCAGCTGCCTCTGATCGTTGTAGAAGCTCCTGTGAGGGTCCAGAGAGAAGCAGCCCACCTCCACAGGCTGCTTGTAGAGCGGGAAGTGTCTTTTTATTTTTAAATGACCTCGTTATAAATTATCAAAATTTCCTCACTGGATTTTCCGGTAAAAATCATATTACTTATAACTTATCTCTGGTGACTTATGCTGGACTTCTCCAATTATTTAGTCCCAGTCTATATGTTTAGTCCTCTTAATTCTCTCTAGTCCTCTTAGGCCATGACTTGGGGAAGTCGTGGCCTAATGGTTAGAGAGTCGGACTTGTAACCCAAAGGTTGTGGGTTCGAGTCTCGTACTGGCAGGGATTGTAGATGGGGGGAGTGAATGTGCTCTCTTCCACCTTCAATACCACGACTGAGGTGCCCTTGAGCAAGGCACCGAACCCCCAACTGCTCCCCAGGCACCGCAGCATAAATGGCTGCCCACTGCTCCGGGTGTGTGTTCACTGCTGTGTGTGTGTGTGCACTTTGGATGGGTTAAATGCAGAGCACTAATTCCAAGTATGGGTCACCATACTTGGTCACATGTCACATGTCACTTCACTTATACTCCGTCCCTGCAAGCTCACATTCATCTATCTCCACTTTTGAGTGCAAACCCCACATCTCAAAATCCAATCAACAACCAATGCATACAACCGATACATAAATAAATAATATAAAAAATAAATAAATGAATAAACAAACGAGTTGATATAAATTTAAATTTTGAGATATAAAATCGCTTGATATAAAAGTCAGAATTGTGAGTCTTTTCTCATTTTTATTTTTTTTATTAAATTTTTTTAACTTTGGCGAAATCAAGATTCCATACGATATTTCGTTTCATCACAAAAACGTTTGATTTACTTTCTCGTACACAATTACTAAAATCAAAACTAAAAAATGGACGTTTGGAGCAGTGGCGTAGCCAGAATTGTAATTTTGGGGGGGCCTATCATAAAATGAGGGGGCCCCTCTATATTACATCTAGGCTATAATGTCTATATTAAATGTGCGCATTTCCAAGTGTTTGTGCGGCATGTGGAAGCTGAATAGCAGTGCGCTTATTCTGCACGACAAGAGGCGCCTATACTCCGTCATTTTTGGTTGTACAGACAAGAATTACATCGTTCGAATCTGGTAAGGGTCATTATAACTAGTTATGTTTAATTATTCATATTTCCTCATGAGCTGAGTCGCTACACTTTTTATGGAATGTAATGCGCTACATTACTTCTGCGTTACTTTTTAAATATGAGCATGGCTTGATTGTTTTTAATATAAGAAGTTCTATTTATAGCAAATGTAAAAGCCCTTTCACACCAAAAAGTGTAATGAATAAACCTCAGGCTGAAGGAAAAGTAAATTCACGTCTGTACAGTAGAACGCAGGAGAAGAAACATTCTTCAGCAATAAAAAAACAAAGCACAATTGTTAGTTTATCTGAAGTCATGTTTGCTTATTAGTATGGTTGAACTGGATCAGCAAAGGTCAGCAGAAAAGACATCAGTTAATAAAATGGGATTAGATACATTTGTGTTATTTAACATATTTAATTATTGCAGGTTTGCGTCATATTCTGAGTTTGCATTTCACTGTTTTAATTCATTTTGATGATTACTAAATCTGTTTTTTGTGAGTGGGCTGAATTAATGCACATTCACATTTAGTCTAGAACTACAGTAAAATCATGTTCACACAGCACACACAATGCCTCTGTACTTACGATTTCTCCCAATATGGGGACAGGAGACTTGTCAGTCAATAAATGGGAATACAAAGCAACTGGTGTTACTTTTTTGAAAAAGTAACTCAGATATTTTCTTGCAAATTAAAAAAAGTAATGCGTTACTTTACTAGTTACTTGAAAAAAGTAATCCGATTACGTAACTCACGTTACTTGTAATGCGTTACCCCAACACTGCTCACAATAACAACAAAACGTTGTGCGCTGTAAAATAATGAAACCAAACTTGAACGCATCAAAAATGAACCGAACTCATGCCTCACAGACATGAGAAATATGTCTATAGAATGCGTGCAAATGACGCCACTGGTTTGGAGGCAACATTTACCAACAATGGAAAGAAACTGATTGAAGACAGGTTTTTATTTATTTAAATATTTGCAATATTTCCTTTTTATTGCCATCTTATGCATCATGTGCTTGTGAAATCTATTACTCTGGGTTTGCTACCCTGACAACACAGTCCTGAAATAAAGTCCCAAAATAATATATTTCTTGCTGTGGTGATGCTTTAAAATGTCAAGTACAGCAATCAGCTTCAGACAATATTAGACAATTAATTAATGTAACAGACCTATACTAACCTTCATGATTTTTAGAATTAAAGTTCACCAAAAAAAGATCCTTCTATCATCACTTACTCACCCTCATGTTGTCCCAAACCTGCATGTATTTGTTCTGTGGAACACAGAAAACGATATTTTGAAGAATGTTGGTAACCAAAGTTTCAGTTCCCATTGCCTTCCATTCTATTTTTGTCCACACAATGAAAATCAATAGGAACCGAAAGTGTTTGATTACCAACATTCTTTAAAATATATTCTTTTTTGTTTCACAGAAGAAGGAAAGTCACAGGCTTAGAAGGACTTGAGGGTGAGTAGATGACAGAATATTCATTTTTGGGCTCAAAATTCAAAATAGGGTTGCACCAGTAAGGATGGTAATTCCATTACAAATATGGGTAATTCCATATCTTCGTTAGGACCATCTGGAGAATTCAATCATGCAAATAACTTTTAAAAATATTTCTTTCACCTCTATAATTATATCATAACCTCTATGAATTGCAAGGCTAATTAATACATCATATAGACTGTACCTGTCAAGTTTTTACAACAAATCTCCCATCAGTCAAGTTTGATTGGTGCAGGAAAAAACATCAATCACAGGCATTAGACTGCAATGTCATTCAAAGTAAAGAAGACCTTTAGAATGAGAGGAAAAGCCATTGCATCTTAATTATTAAAGATATGAAAGCTGCTATAATCCATCACTTCGATGTATAACACTTCACACTTAACATTTCTGGTAAGCATGGATTTACCAAAAAACAGCATATTTTGCAACATAAATGGGAAAGACATGACAGGTTTGGTGAAACTGGAATGAAGTAGAAATCCCAATGGATAGCAAATGCTTTAATTTCACAATGGCAGTTGACATCAAAAGCATGATTTCCCAAGATTTGGCATGTGCATTTCTGAATCCTTTAGAAAAGAGTATTTAAGTTTAAAAGAACAGATATGCGGGAACCAGCAAGAATACAAGAGCTTTACAATTTACAAAGTATACATTGGCCAGCAGCAGCAGCAAACATTCCTTAGAGCTCAAAGATTATACAACAGTCTAATTATCAAGCATTCTTTGAGGACTTAATTCATATTTATGGATAATAATGCATCACATTAATCCCAACCAAGAACATATAATGTAGAACAGCATACTCAGTTACATGGCAGATGCTCCGCAACCTATCAAATATATTATGAAGATAAACTACAGTATGTACAAGTTCCAGTTTGTATTGTCTAACAACAGACCATGCAAAAGTGCTAGGTCAGTAAAATTGGTATAACTTGGTTTTCTGAGTCCATGGGAATGGGACTGATCAAAGGTAAAGACAAGAGCATAGTGAAACCACTATCAAATTGAACCCTACATTCTTATAAATGAGATATGTACAGTACATGTCAAACACTGATTAATTTGAGTGAGAAATTCAGAAGCCTGAGGAAAAAGTCACGTTAACATAATATCACAACTGAAATATTAACCGAGCAGAATATACCATTAAATACCCCACTACACCAAAACAACATTGGCTACAAATCCTATCCATATTCAACATATGTAGGAAAAATGGCTCAGCAAGAAGGAAACAAACAAAAAAATAAGTAAGAAAAAGATTCAGCTCTGTCTATCAATGGGACAACTCCTGAGATATTTGTAACAATGATCTGTAGTGTGTTTGTATGTCAGAATGCACTTTTTGGCCTATTGTAAATTAACTCCCAGTGTAAAACATGAGGTTGGACAGGTTGAAAAGCCACTCTGTGTGTGTGTGTGTTTGTTTGGGAAACTGTAAGTATATTTTAGTATTTAAAGAGAGACTTATTTGATTGTGTCAAACAAACAAATTACTGGGGTATGTTTTCATAAACTAAGGCCAGAACTGAGGTTTACTCAGGTTGCGGGGTGCTGGGACCCCAGGAAAAGAGACTGGGAAGGCGGAAGGCAGAGTCTCTCCGTGCTGGGTCAGGAAGAGTTAGGGTCTCCGGAGCTGACTTCTTCCGTGGTCTGTCCTTGGGCACAGAAAGGAAGTCTGGAGCTTCAGTGGAGAGGGGTGTAGAGGGAGCGCTGGATGTGCCGCTACGAGCGCAGGCTGGCAGGGGCTTCTCGCTGATGGAAATAGCTGGCGGAAAGGTTCCCAGCTTCTTATTGGTGGCTTCCTGAGTGGCTCGTTCATATTCTCTCACTTCCTCTATTGTCATGTCTTTAAACATCCAAAGCAAAGGAATTTCTATTAGTGGGGTTTCACTAATGTAATTTATATTGGACTAAACCAGTGGTGTTAAACTCAGATCTTGAAGGGCAACAGTCCTGAGGAGTATAGTTCCAACATTGCTTAAATCCATCTACCTGTAGTCTTATAGTAATCCTGAAGGACTGAATGAGCTGGATAAGGTGTGTCAAATTGGGAGTATGGCCCTCCAGATGTTAAGTTTGACACCCCCTGGATTAACCAAATCCAATATAAAATCATATTCCATCTGATGTTCACGAGGCTTCCATTACCAAGCTATAGTAAAATATTGTCATTTTTATTTGTTTCTACAGGCAATTGTTTGCCTATTATTTATAGCTGTCTTCCTTAGTTGTCAAATCCTGGTTAATAATGTCATGATGGTGGTGAGGGGTACCTTTAATTCAGGGGTGTCCAGTCCTACTCCTGAAGGGCCACCTTCCTGCAGAGTTTAGCTTTATCACACCTTTAGTGATTCTGAAGACCTTAATTAGCTGTGTTTAATTGGGGCCAGAGCTAAACTCTGCTGAAAGGTGGCCCTCCAGGAGGAGGACTGGAGACCCCTGCTCTAATTCAGCAACTCAATGAACCATTGTTTCCTCCTCCTTCACACTCGCTGCACGTTTAGGATCTCACTGAGAACGCAATGTGCTCAACAGTAGTAAAAGAGATGCTGCTTTTTTTTGAGCAGAAAACGGCTCTGCTTTCTATGCTTTGCAATCTGAACACTTTCAGTGTTCATGACTGAACAATTTGTTAAAGTCATCTAATCTAATCAGTATGGTCAAGGTCCTTGATGAGAACATGAAGAACAACTTTAAAGTGCTGAATTTCTCAGCTGAAACATATATTTTCTGTCTGTTTGTTCTTGCAGTGACTCATGAGAGTAAACACGGTTGTGAGCTATGGATCACGACATCCATTGGCATTCGTGAGGTTTGTTAGTCACAACTCTGGGACAGAGTCAAAACAAAAGAAACGGCAAATAAATGTAAAGAGATGAATAAACAGCAATCTGAAGGGAAGGCTGTGTGCATGACTGGCTGGTCAATGCCAAACTTACCAATCCACTCATCAACCCAAGCGAAAGCCTGCCTATGACCCAGCAACAGCACATCCCTCACCACCTACAGAAAGAAAGACAGGTACAAATATATGGTCATTCTGATGTTGCCAAGTAGATGTGTTCCTGGATCTTTTGTTGGTCCTGGAAAATTATTTTGTCAAATGAACATACTCCTAATCTTCCCTAACCCCAATGCTAACAATGACCCTAACATCAGAGGGAAATGAACAGTTAAAAGAAATGTTGTTGAAGCCTCAGCTCCAGCACAAAGCTGACTAATCCTAACCCTTAAATCTGATTGGTTGACAGGAATATTGCTCCAGAACCAACAAAGATGATCCAAGGACTTGATCTGCTAGATGATATCATGGTAAGCACAGCTGGATAGACAGATCTATCTATAGATCTGAGTGATGTGCAATGAGAGTAACTACAAGGTTAGGGTTTTAGGGGGCTCGCCCGGGATATGTGGAGGGGTGGAAGTGACCTTGTGCACAAACTGCTCCACACGTGTCTGAAGTCCCCACACCTCGAACTTCACCGTTACTAGCTTATAGGAGCACATGATGGGATCCTGTGTGTCCCTCCAGCCTTCCTTCAGCAAACCCCGGGTTGTCTTCTCGGATTTAAAGTATCGTGGGTCCTGGAGTGGAAATACAGAATGGAAGTAAAATAAAATGTCCTGGAATGGAAATAAAATGGCCCACAGAGTTCATTTTATATACAGTACAATAAACAAGAATGTCTCATTTAAACCTTTATAAGACTTATTCATAGCAGAATAGAAAGAAGACAGGAGATGACTGGAAGAAAAGGTGGGACTCGGGTCAGAAAATTACATGAACCAGCACATGCCAACTATGCAAAACACTAAGCAATGGCTCTGACGATTGGATATCTAATTTTACAGTTAATAATAAATGATAAATTAGTCTCCAGTCCAACTTTGATTAGAGACGTTTAGATATTCTCACTGTAAACATGTCCTTGTACTGGTTGAGTTCTGGTTGGTGGCAAATTTCTGCAAACAAACCAAATATATCTACAATTTTACAGTTAATTTACAGATGTTAATTATATTATTGTTAATTATATGATTACAGTTTCATTTTAGATTTTTTTTCTTTATTTGTACATGCTGTATTTATATAAAAAAAATTCTACCCAGTATTATTGTGTTTAATGCCTTTATCTGCCACCCTGTTCTAGCTGGAACACAGGAAAGCATTCTGCATCTTTATTTATGCACAACATTTGAGAGTGAATTCCATTTAAAAGTTAACATCACTTTGCTCTACTCACTCTGGAGGGCAGATCACTTGAAGTGAGTGCTCTACACACCAACTACCCACCGGTGTTCCACAGGGTTCAGTACCTGGCCCATTTTTACTCTCCAAATCACTTTGCAAAATTCTCACCTCTCAGAGCTTTTCCCCATTATTCCTATGCAGATGATACTCAATTCATTCTCTTTTCACCCTCTGACAACCAAATATCATCTGGTATTAACATATTTCTGCCTGCATATCTGAATTTATTGAAAACTGAGCTGCTAATCATCCTGGCCAAGAACCAATCCTGCAAAGACCTTGTTATTTCAATAGACAACAAAATCATCTCACCTACACAAGAATGATAAGAATCCTGGCATCAATGAGGTCTATAATACCTGCAGAAAGCTAGCCATTAATATCAATGGCAGTTGCCTGGAAGCTCATTGTTTTTGATCAAAGTTCAAACTGTGCTTAAGTTTATCAGTGATGGTCAATTCAAGGTCGAAGTATACTTCAGTTTTGATGTGAATGCTTGTGTGTGTGTGTGTGTGTGTGTGTATGTATGTATGTATGTATTGCTTGTAACAACCCTTGTTGCCAGTTGGAACTTCCCCAGACTAAGATGTTGACTGTCAATGACTGAGATCCACAGGTTGTTTAGAAACACAGAGGACTAAGTACATTTTTATTACCTTGAAATACACCTTTAGTCATATTCTGTTTAAAACCCAGATATCTATGACAATTAAACTTTGCAATGCTTTAGGGTACATTACACACACCATGTCAGTTTAACAGCATGTCCTAACCAGATGCAGTCCAGTTTACTGGTGTTTAATAGGCGGTCAATACCCCAACATACTATGAATGGATTAACTGAATCACGTCTACACATATTTCTTCTGTTAAAACCATTGTTCGTGCACTGTTGATTCTTTGCGATGTTATTTTTTCTCTTCATACTTTCAGTACGTTTTCAATAAAATTATTTACTTAAAGGCATGCCTTTTTATTGTTGACAAAATAAACCCTTCACCAACAGATGTTTTTGAACAAACACTGACGAGATTAACAGGTTTTTTTCTGTGACATAAGTGATTTTATTTGTTTAAATGAGGACTAGAGTGATCACTTATCATTCCCAGCACTGCAGCTGTTTTTTACTTTCCACATCTAATTCCACCTCTGCTTTTTTATTCCTCAAGCAGAACCACTGCTGGCCTGGATCCTTAGATAGCAGCAAGCTCCTGCCAGAGAAAGATAACACTGCACTCCTCTCATCTGTCAATGCTTACCTCTGCAGGAGGAGAAAGGCAGTATGTGAAAATGAATTACAATGGAGAGGTGATTCTGAGACTTGCGCCAGAAGAGATCTCAACAGGACCTCTTTAATAATTCAGTATCGGCTTAAAAATAACCCATACTCTTTTGTTTTCGTCTATGTGGGAGAAGCACTCCCCTGTTTCTTCAAAACAAAATCCCCTATCAACAGAGCTCAAATGAATAAATCACAGAGGCCAGCGAGGAAAATATTGGAGGGGAATATAAAATACAGAGGTGAATATGAGCACATACTGTACCTTAGAGGGAAATTTGTACATTTGTATTGCTTATAAATTATTTACCGTTTCTTTAATGGATCATATATTTATGTGCTTTATTAAAGAAATATCTTACCTCAGACTCCTTGTAATAGCGCTCTGGGATCTCATCGTAGGCAATGTCAATAAAGCACACCTCTGTTTCTTCATCTCGGGGCTCTGTATCAAAGATCTAGAGGATGTTAGAGAGAAAAATATTTTTTTTAAATCTACCAGCTACCACTGCTACTGAAAAAGTCAGGATGTACTTCACAAACTCAAAATTAGTTTTAACCAGATGTGATATAACAAGTTTCCTTTGTCTGTCCACACTGAAAGCAACAATGGTGAGAGATGCAACACATTCACAATCAGAACATATTTGATCTGTAAAATACAGATATGGGGAACGGATGATATGTTACTGTGGGTGGAGTGACAGAACATGACAGAATTAGAAACCAAGCAACTACAGAACACCTTGTCGCTTGTGGCTCATTGCATTTGTGTGTAGTAGATTAACTGATTAACTCAGGGGTGTCCAATTCGCTCCTGGAGGGCCACTATCCTGCAGAGTTTAGCTTCAATCTGCCCCAATACATCTGCCTGGAGGTTTGTAGTAATCCAGAAGACCTTGATTAGCTGAAACCGGAGTTTTTGGCTTGTGACGTCGGTGCCTGCGCTGTTATCTCCGCCTACTGGAGACTTTTTCAGGCTTCTGATTGGCCAACATGGCTTTACGGTTGAGATTATATCACCACCTGTTGGTTTGGCATGCTCTTGACAGTGCTTCATAGCATGTGTTTGCGTTTTCATGTGGACGGAGATTTTTATAAAAACTGAAAATGGGAAAAATCAGTTTATAAAAATACCTGTGTATGTGTGGACATGGCCTTAGTCTCACACCCACAGTCCAAGAGTCTGATATTTACTGCACACAAAACTGAACAACAGGTTCCTAAACAGTCCGCAAAGAAAGTAAGTTATGCTTAACAGGTTCCCAGACTGATTTAATAAATGGGATTTTTCAAAGTTTGTGAAGTTCAACTTCGTTGTTGGTTATTTTACATGTGAAAGAAGTGGAAGCTGTTACAGCAGCAAAGGAAGATCAAACTCCCCATTATTGCCAATGGTTTTGTAATTAAATGCTCAGTGAGCACAAATACAGCAGGTGTGTAAGCGACCAAATACACTGTCAAGACTGTTAAAAAAACAGTTTTGAGACCTTGCATTTTCTAGTTCTTGTGTTAATTTCATTGACTAATCATATTCATTGACCTTTTTTCCATGACTAAGGACAAAGATGAGACAACACCAACATCATTAAACACTAATTGTGACTATATCAATATGCAATATCATCGACAAAAAAAGACTTATAAAAATAAAAACTCTCCACATCCAAAATATCTATATATTTTCTTCAACAAAAAAGAGGGATAAAATATAGACCCCCCCCCATCCAATGTTCCCTCTCATTTTTAATTTTTTTTGCTAAACAAAACTTTTCTTTATTGACTGGACATTTCGTCCAACTGAGCAAAAACATTCTTTATATCAGAGCTTTACAGCACACAGACAAAAAAAAAGTGAGTCAACTTTTAATGCTAATGTGCTATTTATATTTGATTTGACCCTTGATGTAACTAAATCACATTTTATGTTACCTGAGAAAACTGATTTTTTTTTTTTTTACAGTGCTGTGTTAACCAAGAAATTCTATTAAAAATCTTTTTCTTTTTTTCAGAAATATCTTACAGGCATTTAAAAATACCAAAATACTATGTTGATGTATGTTTCTGGTTTCATAGTGCACAATATATTGGTGCCCATTAATCCAAATAAATAAAAATGTCTTTATAATCTCATCAAAATGTCAAATCTCTCTTATTTTTCATCGCCTTCCCTTCAGCCACCTGCATCAATAGCACAGGGTTTGTACAGGACAGGTGGCTCAACAGAAGCCATTACTTTAAAAGAACCATGTGAAAGCACGTTTGGAGCAGGTCAAAATGCTTAATGGTGAATCATCTGTGATGTGGGAAAAGATTTTATGGTCAAATTAACCTTTTATAGTATGCAAAGTGATATTCAAAGTGATATAAAACAAATCTAACACTGCCCACACCTCAAAAACACCAGAGCATCATGCTGCCTCTCCTCAGCAGGAACTGGGCTTCTTGTTAAAATAGAAGGATAGATGGTGCAAGATACAAAGAAATGTTTTAGTAGGATAAAAGCATGCTCTGGATAAAATGTATTTTTCAGTGAGGCAATGGTCCCAAACACAAGGCCAACTTAACATCAAAGTGCCTGAAATTGCCAATCTCAAGTCAAGATGCACAGGTACCTGTCAGCCTGGAAGTGGTATTTATAGGGTCTTAGGCTGCTAGAATGATGCACGTCTGAAATAGAATTAATCACTGGACTCAAGTTTGCCAGAATAGTGGCATCAAATACAGATGCACATGTATACGCATACCAAATCATTGCTGCAAAAGAAGACTAAAGTAGTCAAAAATATGTGGATTGAACAATTATGCTATTTTTTTTAAATACTGTATAATGATGCTGAAATAACATAATTCATTTTCATGTTTCCACAAGATGCCATTTTAATGTTGTGTGGGTGATTATAGGTCTGACCCTCGCGCTTTGATTTCAGCACCATGGACAGGGCAAATCAACGGCACATGGCCAATGGAACGAGATGGGTGCAAAAACCTGACGCTATTTTCTGCTCATCAGCCACAGTTACTAAAGAAGTGTTGGCATCTCAACTGAACATGAAACTGAGCACGGATGGTGAAAGAATGCAGCGTTCTGTTATCTCTCACCTGCAGATGCAGAAATAGCCCTGAGGCGAACCAACAGATGCTACCTGGCTCCTACACCTCTCCTTTACAGTCAAAATATCATTCAATCACTTTGTCTGCAATCAATCATTTTCTTGTCTTGTTTTCCATCTAGTATTCCAAGATATCTTTTCAGAACATACTATTGTAATACCTTACAATTCCATTTTTAATTGGAGTTAATTTGATATATAATTTTGGTTGTCACTACTTCATCCCATCACTCTGTACAACTGATTTCTCTCCATCTCAAGCACATCATTTATAAATGTTAGATCTTCAAACACAAACCCACAAATGCCTCAAACTGATCACAGAAGAGGAAAAACTATCCGTCTGCAGTGAGTGATGTTAAAATGCTCTCATTTGGGGCAGAGGATAAAAGTGTTACTTGATACCAAGAGCAAAGGAATAAAACAATGCGAAAGTCTTTCTAAGCGAGTGAGCATGTGCGCGGAGACGAGACCAGAAGCTCGGGACAGCACTGGCTCAGACAGACCGTAACCGCCGTCTGGAACGATCCTGATGCATGTAAGCTCTCAGACTGACTGCAGGCCAGCATTATTAAAGAGCCAAACTCACCCAGAAATCTCTCCAGGACCAATCCCATCTGAAATCACAAGCGCTTTTTGGCTAGTGGGTTTCTTCCACTTGCTGTGTTAACCAAGAAATTCTATTAAAAATCTTTTTCTTTTTTTCAGAAATATCTTACAGGCATTTAAAAATACCAAAATACTATGTTGATGTATGTTTCTGGTTTCATAGTGCACAATATATTGGTGCCCATTAATCCAAATAAATAAAAATGTCTTTATAATCTCATCAAAATGTCAAATCTCTCTTATTTTTCATCGCCTTCCCTTCAGCCACCTGCATCAATAGCACAGGGCTTGTACAGGACAGGTGGCTCAACAGAAGCCATTACTTTAAAAGAACCATGTGAAAGCACGTTTGGAGCAGGTCAAAATGCTTAATGGTGAATCATCTGTGATGTGGGAAAAGATTTTATGGTCAAATTAACCTTTTATAGTATGCAAAGTGATATTCAAAGTGATATAAAACAAATCTAACACTGCCCACACCTCAAAAACACCAGAGCATCATGCTGCCTCTCCTCAGCAGGAACTGGGCTTCTTGTTAAAATAGAAGGATAGATGGTGCAAGATACAAAGAAATGTTTTAGTAGGATAAAAGCATGCTCTGGATAAAATGTATTTTTCAGTGAGGCAATGGTCCCAAACACAAGGCCAACTTAACATCAAAGTGCCTGAAATTGCCAATCTCAAGTCAAGATGCACAGGTACCTGTCAGCCTGGAAGTGGTATTTATAGGGTCTTAGGCTGCTAGAATGATGCACGTCTGAAATAGAATTAATCACTGGACTCAAGTTTGCCAGAATAGTGGCATCAAATACAGATGCACATGTATACGCATACCAAATCATTGCTGCAAAAGAAGACTAAAGTAGTCAAAAATATGTGGATTGAACAATTATGCTATTTTTTTTAAATACTGTATAATGATGCTGAAATAACATAATTCATTTTCATGTTTCCACAAGATGCCATTTTAATGTTGTGTGGGTGATTATAGGTCTGACCCTCGCGCTTTGATTTCAGCACCATGGACAGGGCAAATCAACGGCACATGGCCAATGGAACGAGATGGGTGCTAAAACCTGACGCTATTTTCTGCTCATCAGCCACAGTTACTAAAGAAGTGTTGGCATCTCAACTGAACATGAAACTGAGCACGGATGGTGAAAGAATGCAGCGTTCTGTTATCTCTCACCTGCAGATGCAGAAATAGCCCTGAGGCGAACCAACAGATGCTACCTGGCTCCTACACCTCTCCTTTACAGTCAAAATATCATTCAATCACTTTGTCTGCAATCAATCATTTTCTTGTCTTGTTTTCCATCTAGTATTCCAAGATATCTTTTCAGAACATACTATTGTAATACCTTACAATTCCATTTTTAATTGGAGTTAATTTGATATATAATTTTGGTTGTCACTACTTCATCCCATCACTCTGTACAACTGATTTCTCTCCATCTCAAGCACATCATTTATAAATGTTAGATCTTCAAACACAAACCCACAAATGCCTCAAACTGATCACAGAAGAGGAAAAACTATCCGTCTGCAGTGAGTGATGTTAAAATGCTCTCATTTGGGGCAGAGGATAAAAGTGTTACTTGATACCAAGAGCAAAGGAATAAAACAATGCGAAAGTCTTTCTAAGCGAGTGAGCATGTGCGCGGAGACGAGACCAGAAGCTCGGGACAGCACTGGCTCAGACAGACCGTAACCGCCGTCTGGAACGATCCTGATGCATGTAAGCTCTCAGACTGACTGCAGGCCAGCATTATTAAAGAGCCAAACTCACCCAGAAATCTCTCCAGGACCAATCCCATCTGAAATCACAAGCGCTTTTTGGCTAGTGGGTTTCTTCCACTTCGATTTACACAGTGTTAAGGAAGTCAAAACTTCTGAAAAGCTTCCAGTATATATCAGCGAAATAGCCAAAGATTCAGAAATTTGGTCATCATTTGTTGAACCTCATTTAGTTTAAAACCGGCACGAGTTTCTTTCTTCAATGAAATAGATGCTTAGCTTATCAGAATGTCCAACCTGCTCTTTGCTCCAGTTTCCGTTGAGCACTAAAACTGCGACAATGCATCATAAATGTGTATGAATGACATCCTATGGACTACTTTACTGCTGATTTTATGTACTTTTTAGAGCTTGAAAGCCAGGTGACTAACTGATGACAAATATTTGGGGAGAATGATCCCTTAAAAAGGAATAGTTTACCTAAAAATTAAAATTTGCTGACAAATTTCTTACCCTCAGACCATGAATTTGTTTCTTCTTTGACCAGATCTGGAGAAATGTAGCATTGCATCAGTGTCTCAGCAATGGATGCTCTGCAGTGAATGGGTGCCGTCAGAATGAGAGTCCAAACAGCTGATAAAAACATCACAATAATCCACTCCGTACCAAGCCTGGAAGTGGTATTTATAGGGTCTTAGGCTGCTAGAATGATGCACGTCTGAAATAGAATTAATCACTGGACTCAAGTTTGCCAGAATAGTGGCATCAAATACAGATGCACATGTATACGCATACCAAATCATTGCTGCAAAAGAAGACTAAAGTAGTCAAAAATATATGGATTGAACAATTATGCTATTTTTTTTAAATACTGTATAATGATGCTGAAATAACATAATTCATTTTCATGCTTCCACAAGATGCCATTTTAATGTTGTGTGGGTGATTATAGGTCTGACCCTCGCGCTTTGATTTCAGCACCATGGACAGGGCAAATCAACGGCACATGGCCAATGGAACGAGATGGGTGCTAAAACCTGACGCTATTTTCTGCTCATCAGCCACAGTTACTAAAGAAGTGTTGGCATCTCAACTGAACATGAAACTGAGCACGGATGGTGAAAGAATGCAGCGTTCTGTTATCTCTCACCTGCAGATGCAGAAATAGCCCTGAGGCGAACCAACAGATGCTACCTGGCTCCTACACCTCTCCTTTACAGTCAAAATATCATTCAATCACTTTGTCTGCAATCAATCATTTTCTTGTCTTGTTTTCCAGTACGCTATTATGGTATGAAAATACAACATCTAGTATTCCAAGATATCTTTTCAGAACATACTATTGTAATACCTTACAATTCCATTTTTAATTGGAGTTAATTTGATATATAATTTTGGTTGTCACTACTTCATCCCATCACTCTGTACAACTGATTTCTCTCCATCTCAAGCACATCATTTATAAATGTTAGATCTTCAAACACAAACCCACAAATGCCTCAAACTGATCACAGAAGAGGAAAAACTATCCGTCTGCAGTGAGTGATGTTAAAATGCTCTCATTTGGGGCAGAGGATAAAAGTGTTACTTGATACCAAGAGCAAAGGAATAAAACAATGCGAAAGTCTTTCTAAGCGAGTGAGCATGTGCGCGGAGACGAGACCAGAAGCTCGGGACAGCACTGGCTCAGACAGACCGTAACCGCCGTCTGGAACGATCCTGATGCATGTAAGCTCTCAGACTGACTGCAGGCCAGCATTATTAAAGAGCCAAACTCACCCAGAAATCTCTCCAGGACCAATCCCATCTGAAATCACAAGCGCTTTTTGGCTAGTGGGTTTCTTCCACTTCGATTTACACAGTGTTAAGGAAGTCAAAACTTCTGAAAAGCTTCCAGTATATATCAGCGAAATAGCCAAAGATTCAGAAATTTGGTCATCATTTGTTGAACCTCATTTAGTTTAAAACCGGCACGAGTTTCTTTCTTCAATGAAATAGATGCTTAGCTTATCAGAATGTCCAACCTGCTCTTTGCTCCAGTTTCCGTTGAGCACTAAAACTGCGACAATGCATCATAAATGTGTATGAATGACATCCTATGGACTACTTTACTGCTGATTTTATGTACTTTTTAGAGCTTGAAAGCCAGGTGACTAACTGATGACAAATATTTGGGGAGAATGATCCCTTAAAAAGGAATAGTTTACCTAAAAATTAAAATTTGCTGACAAATTTCTTACCCTCAGACCATGAATTTGTTTCTTCTTTGACCAGATCTGGAGAAATGTAGCATTGCATCAGTGTCTCAGCAATGGATGCTCTGCAGTGAATGGGTGCCGTCAGAATGAGAGTCCAAACAGCTGATAAAAACATCACAATAATCCACTCCGTACCACTCCAGTCCATCAGGTAACTTCTTTTAAAGTGATAATCTGCATGTTTCTAAGATACAAATCTATTATTGAGGCGTTTAACTAACTAAATTGTTGCTTCTGGCCAAAATACAAGTCCATAACCCATAATAACGCAGTGATCAAGTCCATCTCCTGTTGCCCTCTTACATCAAAATCCAGCGACATATTTGTTTTGAACTGTTTTTCGCTTGTTAATGGTGCTTGATCTGTGCATATTATTGATTGTTGGACTGGAGTGGTGTGGATTATTGTGATGTTTTTATCAGCTGTTTGGACTCTCATTTTGACGGCACCCATTCACTGCAGAGCATCCATTGGTGAGAAAGTGATGTAATGCTAATGCTAAAGAAACAAACTCATGGTGCTTAGATGGCCAGAGGGTAAAATTTCATCTAATTTTTAATTTCTGTGTGAAATATTCCTTTAATAATGAATGCATATTTAATCAAAGTAATAAATAAACAGGGGCAGACCCACAACTCTACAAAGGTTTAAAAGCACACTAAATCTAGTGATGCCACAAATTGTTCTGCAATCTGAGAACCGACTGGGCTTTCTAGTTAGATTTTTTTTTCCATCTGTTCTCTCATTCCACACAATCAACAGTTCTCACTTTACAGAAAAGATTTAGAGATGAAAGACAATTGAGAAAAGTGCGAAATCATGCAGACATATTTACACTGTATACAGTATACATACATTGTCATTGATGCCTTTGTTGTCTTCATACTTTGTCTCAACGTGGATGGAGAACTTTGGCAGGAAAGAGCACTAAAGAAGAGGAAAATGTGTCAAAAATGAGTTAAATTATGCACAAATAGCCACCCTAGAAAGTATTTGGATACTTAAAAACTTCAAATCAAGTGTCATCTGCACACAAAATACAAAACATGATTTTCTCTTTACTTCTCTTCATTATTTTTGCTCAATGTCTTAGAATCAGCTGGTGTTTTTGTACTTTTTAGTGTATATAATATGCATTTTCTTTCACATAGCAAAGGAATAACAGGTGGAGACAATCACACTAACTATCAATATAATGCACTAACATTCGACAACCACACAGTGTTTTTCTCTTCAATTTCAAGAGTGCATCTATTGCTTTATTTCAAACCAAACAAGGATTACATTATGAATTGTCTTTAATAAAATGGCACTTGGTATGACATTATTTAACACAATGACATTCATAAATTGTTGCGCTCCTTAAAGGAATGGTTCACCAAAAAAATTAACATTTGGGGAAAATGTTCTTACTCTTAGGCTGTCCAAGATGTCATCACAATAATCCACAAAACTCCAATCCACCAATTAATATCTTGTGAAGTGAAAAGCTGTGTGTTTGTGAGAAACAAATCCATCAAGCTTGGCTTCTGGCCAAAATACAAGTCCATAATCCATAATAACACTTCCTCCAGTGAAAAAGTCCATTCCCTGTTGTCCACTGACTTATTACTTTAGAACTGTTTTTAAAGGTAAACGGTGCTTAATCTGTGCATATTTCTCTCCTGATTCAGACGACTTGTTCACTGGAGAAAGCAGTATTATGAACAGAGTACTTGCATTTTAGCCAGAAGCAACATTTTGAAGTTAAAAACATCACAATGATGGATTTCCTTCTTGCAAACACACAGCTTTTCATTTCAAAATAAGTTAATTGTTGGACTGGAGTGGTGTGGGTTACTTGTGGATTATTGCGAAGTTTCTATCAGCTGTTTGGACTCTCATTCTGACAGCACCCATTCACTGCAGAGGATCCACTGGTGAACAAGTGGTGTATATATCTCCAAATCTGATGAAGACATAAACTCATCTACTTCTTGGATGATCTGAGGGTGAGTACATTTTCAGCAGATTTTAATTTTTGGGTGAACCATTCCTTTAAGTAATTATTACCTTTGCATATGATGAATCAACAGACAATTAGGGAAAAATAACACCACCACATTTAGTCTATTTCTATTTAGTCAAGGAACTAATTTTAGACATCTATCAAGAGGGGTCAAAGCTTCGGCCCAGCCTCATTCACGAACACACTACATGCATGCTCTCAGTAGATCTGGTGCACTGCAGGGCAATGCGCTTCAGTGTGATTGTGTTTTATGAGCCTGACGTTCTGCTGTAATGATGAGCTCTTTTCTGCCTCACTGGATTTACAGCCTCCTCCTCTCTCCTTCCCACACGTCCTGAAGCTGTAGCCCCTCTGAGACCCAACACACTGCTGCCTGATTAGATTAAGAACTGCTCCCGCAATCGCTATGGAGATCAATAGAGGCTGAGTTACGTAATGATGGAGGAAGTGCTGTAGCAGTGGGGGAAGGGCAAAGGATCGAGGAGAAGAACAAAGAGCAGATCTATGGGTGCAAACACTCAAGGCAATGGTGACTTACAGCTCAGTTTCAAAACCTAGGAAGCTGCCTCACTGTTTGAAACTGTAGCTTGCCACTTGTTTAAAAGTAGTTAAGCTATAGTCAAGCTCTTTTGAAAAAAATTATTTCATGCTACTGAAAAAATGAACTGTAATGTACTATACTGAAGCTTTTAATGGGGAAGTATCTTTTTAAATATATAACTACCCTTGTGAAAAATAACTTAAAGGATTAATTCACCCAAAAATGAAAATTAGGCTGTGTTTTACTCACCCCCGAGGCATCCTAGGTGTATATGACTTTCTTCTTTCAGACGAATCCAGTCAGAGTTATATAAAAAATTGTCTTTGATCTTTCAAGATGTTTAATGGCACTCAGCGGGTGTTGCATGCATCAGTCCAAAAGAAGAGAAATAAAAAGCGCCCATCCATAAAGGAAAAAGTGTCTCACACAGCTCCGGGGGGTGAACAGAGGCCTCCTGTAGCGAATCGATCCGTTTTTGTTAGAAAAATAACCATATTCAAAACATAATAATCACTTTAATGTAGCTTGCGCCAACAGTTGTACACAGAAGCAGCTCCGGGCGGATGACGTATGAGTTCAGCGCTGCGCATGGATTCGCTACAGGAGGCCTTTGTTCACCCCCCGGAGCTGTGTGAGACATTTTCCTTTATGGATGGGCGCTTTTTATTTCACTTCTTTTGGACTGAAGCACTGTAACACCCGCTGACTGCAATGATAGAGCTTGGAATAGCCAGGACAATTTTTAATATAACTCCGACTGGATTCGTCTGAAAGAAGAAAGTCATATACACCTAGGATGCCTCGAGGGTGAGTAAAACACAGCCTAATTTTCATTTTTGGGTGAACTAACCCTTTAACTGTATAGAATGTGCTTGTACTGTTCTTCAAATCTTAAAATGATATGTGACCCTGGACCACAAAACCAGTCATAAGGGGTCAATTTTTCGAAATTGAGATTTATAAATATAAATAAAGCTGAATAAATAAGCTTTCCATTGATGTATGGTTTGTTATGATAGGACAATATTTGAAAATCTGGAATCTGAGGGTGCAAAAAAATCTAAATATTGAGAAAATCATCTTTAAAGTTGTTCAAATTAAGTTCTTAGCAATGCATATTACTAATCAAAAATTAAGTTTTGATATATTTACAGTAGGACATTTACAAAATATCTTCACGGAACATGATCTTTACTTCATATCCTAATGATTTTTGGCATAAAAGAAAAATCTATAATTGTGACCCATACAATGTATTGTTGGCTATTGCTTCAAATATACCCCAGCGACTTAAGACTGCTTTTGTGCTGCAGGGTCACGAATATTTAAAAAAAATAAAAACATATGGTATGGTATTAGCGAACTTAGAGAGACACTTTTCTATGTTTCTTAACACACTTAAGTACACTTTAAAAAAAAGTGCAATTTGTAATAATGTCAAATTAAAAGTTTTACTTTAAAGTACATTTTAAATCATGCTTTAATAATCTTGTCATGCTTTAAATAAGGACACTTATTTTGATGTGTTGACTAACATACTAAAGCACAGTACTTGATTATAATCTTAACTGTAGTGTGTTGTTATATATTACATTTAAAGTTAATATATTTTTTGTATGTCAAGTATGACATTTTAAAATGTACAAAATCTATTTTTACATAGCTATATTATCCGTTTGGTCTGTTTTGTACTGCATCCTCACACTACATTAAAGAACATCACAGAGACTCTGTGAATTATAAATTATATTTGCCCATTACATATCTGCACTATGGAAGTTATCCAAATAAAATGAAATTATAGAGGGAATATATTGGAAGTGTCTTTTTAGGCAATTATAGACGGCGAACAATGGATTTTACTGATAATGATAGCTAGGTTGCACTGCACTAGCCAATAACGACAACAGCTGGATATAAACTAACGCAAATAGATGGTAATAATCGAGACATTAAACATTTAGGTCAGACTTGCGTGTATTTAATCGCTTGAGGTACTACTAATGTTAACGATCTCTCAGTCTTGATGGCAAACATACTGCAGTCCTCCACTAATGCAGCATCTAGTCAACATTAATTATGTTACAATGATGGTAATGTACTGTATACATGTTGTCTATGTCAAAAAAACAGCACAAGGCATCAGTCATTTGGCCTCTAGAGATCCCTCTCGCACTGTATAATGACAGCAGACCTTCTCAGGCGCTCCAGCTGCAGAAGCAACCTGGAAAAACTATCGGCAAGTTGTTTCTGCAATCAGTTATCAGTGCTGATTTATCGGCAAAACCGATCAATCAGTCGACCCCTGGTATGGTATAAAAACAATACATTTTAAGTTTATTGATACATATTTAGATAAATTGAAACTATAAGTAGTTTGAGTGTGTACAGAAATTATGGGTAGTGTAGTTCTTCACTGGGAATTGTGATGTTGTTGATGTTTTTGTTCCAAATTTTAATTTTGTTTACGTGGCTTTGTTTGTGTGCCATGAATTAACAACCTCTGAGCTCATGGCAGGTCTGTCTTAAAAGGTTTATGTTACTGCAAAAAATGTATATTTCTATGAAATATTAATGAAATTTGTACTTCCTGAGCTCTATTGTTGCACTCTTTTAAATGAGCGATGGATAAAATAAAAGATTAAAACTTTGATATGTTGACTGCATTTTCCTAAGCACAAGAAAAAAAAAACGTATTTAAGACGTATATATATAAATATATTTTGTCTCTATAATCCTTCAGCCAATAAATTAGTATATTTCAATGCTGCTCAAACAGAGTTGGAAAGTGACTGTCACAAATGACCATTTAGCTGTTTCCATTTTGTGCTCATTTTTACATCCTTTGGGCTTTTCTCGTCTTCCACTGCTCTCATTTGAGCACAGTTTGTATCCAGTTGTTCCTGGCATATGGTTGATTATGATAACAGTGTTCTGATGAAGAGCTCTCTCATTCATCTCTAGGTACAGATACGGCACACACAGCCACTCCAAGATCCACTGACTGTCGTCCAGCTTAAGCTAAGCCTTAATCCTCCACCCGTCTCCACCGCTCTTTTAAACCAACCTGTCATGTTGCTGCTGTTGACTTTCATCAGTTTCCAGGCAGCACTCAAAAAAACAAATGGAAGATTTATGCACCTGAATTGTGTAAATGCATGTGGAAACACCATTTGGATAAGTGTAGCTACAACTTTCCTGAAATGGGTGAAAGCCCCTTTTATACACCATGTAACCACTGTCGGAGAAAGTTATTTTTAAAAGTAATGCATAAAAATGTAACTACCGTATTGACCCGAATATAAGACGATGTTTTTTTCTTGGAAATACATCTGAAAAAACGCGGCCAATACGGTAATTGAGTTACTTTTTATGGAAAGTAATCCATTACATTACTTTTTCGTTACTTTTTGTCACCTGGGCTGGCCTTGCTGATATGTTTTTTTTAATAACAAAATCCCAAAAGTTGTATTTTTGGCAACTGTAGGGGCCCTTTCACACTGAAACTGAAATTAATAAGCCTCAGGCTAACACGGGGACAGAAGAGGTGTCAGTAAATAAATTGGAAAACAAAGTAACTTACATAACGTATTTGAAAACGTAACTCAGATTTCATTGTAAACTGAAATGTAATCCTTTACATTACTAGTTACTTGAAAAAGTAATCTGATTACGTAACTCGTATTAGTTGTAATGCATTACCCCCGTTCACACAGAACGTTGTTTTTCTCATTTAAACATGTGCTAAATGGACACAGATTTGATCTCACGTTGATCTCATATATGACACGGTGTTCTAAAAATGCAGCGCTCAAGTTAAAAGTAGTTAAACGTTTGCTTTTTCATTCCATTTTTACATGCAAAAACACGTTCTGTGTGAACGGCCCCTAAGGTCCAAATACCTTATACCTTCACTATA